TCTAAGATCTAAATTGTCCATTTTCTTAATAAAAAAAGTCCATTTTCTGTTGACACATATTTTCACTATAGGGGAAAAAAAACCAAGTAATCTCAACCAAATAGAGGAAAAGTGCAACCAGAAAAGTTACATAGATTTTGATTAAAACTAAGAACAAGAATAGGGATATATAGATTAATCTCCAACATGAAGTTCGAATTGTTGTTCTTTCCTAAACCATAGTATCATTCAACAAATTCACACAAAACTAAGCATAATAAGAGGGATATATAGTTTGATTATCGTAATTAGTTCCCTAGTTCTCTTCCTCAAAGGTATCTTACATGTAAGTATAAAAAATTTTGAATATTTGACATAAATGGATGGGAGAACCTGCATAAGTTACAATTTCGTAGAAACAATGCATCAAGGTGAAATTAATTCGTCCTTCAAGAATTGACAACGAGGAACAAACAACATAATGCACTTTGATCAGCCAAATATCCATACCTAACCATTTTGTCCTAATGAGGTAAGAATGTCAATATTATTACTAACATTTATCTTTCCCTCAACTATAGAGGCTGGTCTCACAGCAGCTAAGCAAAACATATTTAGCACAACATCAGAAGTAAACACAACATCCACAGAAACATCAATAACCGCAAGCACAAACCATAAAATGGAAATCTAATGAAAATAGCCCATCAGATTAACTAATGAAGTTCATAGATAGGGGAAAAGAATTAATTAATAAAGTCAAACCTAAGATCATTACTAATTACCAAATCTATCACCGAAATGAGCAGAAAGATTATCATCATTCTCACCACCACCATCATACACAGACGCCTAATCAAATTACATACTACAGCATGCAAGAAACCGATCAAACAAACGCAAACAGATCGGAAATGAAGAAAAAAAATGCAGATCAGAGCGAGAAAATGAAATAAAAAAAAGTCAAGAGACGGAAGGAGGATATACTGAAGCCGTTATCAACAAGGTAGTTGAAGGTGTGTCCATCGCAGTTATAGGTGAACTTATTGCTGGACGCCGGCAGCTTTTGGAGGCACTGAGAGGCTATACTGGTGAAGTTGCCGGTGAATTCCGTGTACTCCGCCAGAATCACGGTGCCTCGAGCGACGAACGCGTAGATCAGCGATTGCTGCCCCATCAACAATCCGTAGCCCTAACCGTAGCAGAGAGAAATGGCGTCGGAAGAGAAGAGATGAGGTTTCCGAAACGAGAAACGGATGATTTTGGTGTGAGGGAAGGGGCAGGACAGGGAGATGAGAGTTTCCTTTTTCGTTTTCGCTTAGATCAGAAGCGAGGTAGCGTAAATTGTTTTTTAGCTTTTTATTTTTGATTGGGTAAGCTACCCTCCTAATAAAAACGAAATAACCGAAATGCCACGGAGTCTACGAGTTTTGAATTTTCGAAAATTTGAACGGAGGAGACGACGAAGTTTACCCGTGTTCTAGACTTTTAGAGGGAATGGCTTTTTGCAGAAGAACCCCTGTTTTTTACTGAAATTGTTCTTTATGTATCTTCTCTTTTTTTCTTTTCTTTGGGTTCTATTTTTTTAATTTTAATTTTAATTTTTATATATTATATTACTTATCTTGTCACTAACCTAAATTATGAGATTTATTTTTTGGATACCTAACACCATCTTAAACGATGAGGTCACTCCATGATTACATCATCCTGATAATAACTATCCTTAAAGACGAGTTAGAATTAATTTCACAACTGTTATTAGTTTTCTACTCTAATTTAATTGTTTTAATTTAATTTTTATATAAAATTTGATTTAAAATTTTTATATTTTTAATTAAATTTTAACAAGTTTAATTTAACTTTTTTAGATATAAATTTTAAATAAAAATTTAAAATATTATATGAATAATTATTAAAAAAATTTAATTACATGAAATTTTTGTTAAATATTTTTATTTGATTAAAAAAATCCTAATTATCATTTATATAACATATTAAATTTTTATTTAAATTATACATAATTAAAAAGTCAAACTATAATTATTAGAAATGAATAAAATAAATAAACAACAATTAAAAAATATTTTTATAATTTTTTTTATTGTTATTGATTTACCATCAAAATATCAAATTAATTTATATAAATGTATGGAATTAGAAATAAAAGACAAGAAGAAGTACTATCAAATATTAACATAATGTTTAATGATAATGCGACACAGAAACAGCATTACAAAATGATACTAGAATGATCCCCAAACACCTTTAAGAAATTTTTCCAACGGTAGGTTGTAGAATCAAGGCAAGCATCAAGCATGTTCTTTTCCTAATGAAACGCCTTGTACCATTGATTTGAATATCAAACCTCAATACATACATATATATATATAAAGTCATTTGATTGTTGTCAAATAAAATCTTGATTTTAATCAATTATTAACCTAGCCATAAGAAACTTTTTTTTTTTTTTTGGTAAGGATGTTTGGAGGCAGTGGATGTGCGTTTTAAAATTAATTTTTTTTAATTATTTTAAAGACACCTTCACGTCAGGCTTTGTATTCATAAAAAATTAATATTTTTAGATGTGAAACCCAAAACTTCCTTAAATCCTAAAACTGAAACTATTCATTTTTTGTTTCCGAAAACTTCGAGGAAGCAGAACAGATTCCGGCAATTGCAAAGAATATACAGAGGGATATTAATTAGCATATTTTTTAATTTAATATATTATATAATATATTTATTAAAAATTATTATTTTATAATTTAAAATTAAAAACAAATAAAATTAAAAATATAACCATATATATAATATACAAAAATTATTTATATTTATATTATATTTTAATAATTAAACTAAACATATATTGTAATATATGTTGAATCAAAAATTATACCGATCATTGTTAAATAAAAAACTATACTGATCATTGTTAAATAAAAAACTATACCAATCATTCTCCTATGTAAAATTGTCATTCAAAAGGCTTTTTGTTTTGTCCATTTTTTTTTTTTTACATAATAAAATTATATTTACATAAAATATTGTAATTAGCAGATTTCATTTCATCAAAAAAAAAAAAAAAAGACTTCATTTCATCAATACAGCTAAGCAATGAGATAATAACAGCACACGGGTTGAAAATTGCAGGCCGGCGTTGGCGCGTTGTTCTGAATGGGAACAGAATCCATACAA